TCAGCTGTTGCTTTTTGGCATTAATGACAATAACCTGAGACTCAGCTGATTGTTATTTTCAGCTGCCTCGTATTCCAGTGTAATTTGATGCAGGTGGTTCAACTGGTAGTAGTGCATAAAGCCTAATGTTGCAACCAAGCTGTTAGAGTACAGTTTTATATCCATGTTTTTATTATTATTCTTTTATCATGGCTTCTGGAATGTTTGGGGTGGGGTTCCCAACAGTGCACACTGCTTTCAGATGCATCTACTTCTGGCTTAGAGGCCATGGTATTGATTGCAAAACTCATGGTGGGGACGATAGTAGAGAGACTTGCCAGCTTCAGGTTTTTGCTTGTAGCTTGTGTGACTACCCCATAAATACAGTCCCTGAGGGTGACTAGCTCAGTGACACAGCAGGACATCCCATCAGCCTCTGTAAAATCTTGTTTGAAAAGGAGATGCAGAAATAGGGCTAGAAGGCCACACTGAAGGGGTTGTGTTTAACCCCAGCTGCTACTGAGCTGTGCTTGGAAAAATTGCATCTTCTCCTTCCCAGGAACAAAGCCTGGCTGCCAGTAGTAACTCTCCTCCTTTCCCTCCCTCCAAAACCAACAAGCCAGCTCCTGAATGCTGGTAGCTCTTTTAAGTCACCCGAGTCATCTGCGCCCTAGCCTGGTCTGGAGCTGCAGCTGCTTTCCGAGGCTATTCCAGGAGGGCTGACTGAAGAGGTGAGGAGAAAGTCGGTTTAAGATGAGGAATGAAACATGCTTTTTCTCCCCTTCTTTGTATGTATGTATTTGCTTTCTTTTGATAGCTTATCATCTGCCCTAAGGCTGGAACTTAAACTCTTCTGAAATTTAATAGAGGCATTCGGCCCCCTTCATAGTAGGGACCTTCATAGCAAATACATTGTGTGCAGTGGACAACACAACGTCTGGCTTGGCAATCACAGTTCATAAAATGTGTAAATGTTAAGGTGTGAATGACCTGAAGAATACTCACCAAAAGTAATTAAAGTTGTTGGTTGTGTTAGCTTGAGGAAGCTAATTCCTTTCCTTTCTCATCCCTCGAGTTCTGTGTATATAATAACATTAGAACTAAAGCTTCACTCATTTATTTCAAGAGGACCAGAGTGGGCTGTACCTGGTTGTCTGCTGAGAGCAGCTCTGAAATACTGCAGAGTTGACAGGAGGTTCCCAGTAAGTAACAGGAGTCCCCTGTTCTGGGGCAGTCTCTGCTTCAGCTGCAAGGAAGCGCAGGAAAAGCCCTCCTGGAAGCTGGAGATGCCAGCTTAGTAGGATGGATGCTGGAAGCTGGAGATGACGGATTCTTAGTAGGCTTTCCAGATTGCAGGAACTGTTTTAATATTCAGTTTAGTTGAAAAACATGAAGAAAGCTAGTGAAGCATGCTAGAAGATGCCACGTGGTCCAGGTGCAGTTTGAGGTTAGAGACAGTATATGAACCTGTAAGGTGGAATATTACATCAGTGGGAAGATTGCATTAGCATTAATGGATTTCTGGCATTGTTAATAGAAGGCTGTGCAGAGTTGTTTCATGCAAAATGCCCTGAGAATAGGGTTAGCTCAACAGAGAGGGCACGGAGTCTTTGCAAGAGATTTACTAATCTGGCAGTGGTGTTTGCTGAATCACTGAGGAAATTTGTCCATCTAAAGAGCCTGCATTATATATCTTTTTAAGTTGCATTTTACTAGCATATATGCGAAAGCTTTTTGCATTAAAGCTACATCACTTTTTTCCCCTATACAAAACATGTCAGCTTTTCTGGAGATATTATCTTTAGTGAAGAAAACTCGTTAAATAGTCAATAGGCTGTTGGAAATCAAGAAAGTAGTGCTGAATTTTCTATCAAAAATAGATACCAGCCTTAAAGTTTCAAAAAAATGAAATGCCCTTTAAATCACTTGTCTTCAGGCACTGTGACATGATGTCCTTCTCTATTTGAACTTGAAAGCACTTGGCAAGTCGTAACATAGAAATCTAAATGCTCTTGTTAGGATTAGGCTTGCCCTGCCTCAGCATTTCTCTTCTCAAACAAAACTGAGGTCTTCTGCTCACATTTGCTTTACCGAGTCTGTGATTAATGAAGATTGGCTTTGACAGCCAAACAATGTGTTAAAAATGTAGTTTCCTTTTAGGATATGAATCTGCTCTGCATCTCTGGCCTGTGCTGCCAAGGAACAGCTCCAGTAGTTGCATGTATAAAATGGTCCTCAAAATCAAGCTGTAGACTCAAAGTTTTGTGATACCCCAGGCTTCATATGAGTGGCATAAGCTCCTATAACGTAGATGCACATCGGGTGAAGCAGGAGGCATTTCTGTATTAATTATGCACAATCTAGAGACCTCATTAAACAGATGTCAACATTAAGAGCAGCTTAGGCAGTCGTCTAGAAGTTGCTCAATTCATAACCATCTGACTTGTAAAGGTGTAATTTTAAAGCTCTGCAAAATTAAGAAAATGAATGCCTCCACCAACAATGATGATGTTTCAGTTTAGAGTAATCTTCATATTATTCAGAGGTCTTTCATGTTGATGGAGGTCTAGTGCTTCCTGTTTGCTCTGCTGATACTTTTTTCGATATTTCTTATGTGTACTAGCATTTAACAGAGCTTGAATGGTTTAGAAGTATAATTTTCCTTTTCAAGGACAACATTGAAAATTAAAGCATTAGTTAAGCCAGGATTACTTTTGTGAAGAACTATTTTAATTACAAGTTACCTTTAAGAAACAGAATGCTTTAGTGAAAATGGACTTTTCTCTCAATATCCCATTTAACAGATGTCCAGAAGCCTTAAAATGTGACAGCTGAAAATTAGACAAGCATTCACAGACACATGATGCATACAAATTAGCTGTGTGTGAACTGCAATTTCACAAATTAAATAAAAATAATGCAAGAACTTTATACATAATGTGTATTTGTTTGGCTTTCAGTAGCCATCAAGCATATATTTGAAATTCTTTTGGCTTTTTTTATGTATATCTCCAGGTCAACTTAGAGATTGTTACAGAAGGTTAATTTTTGTGGTCTGAAAATCCTTAAATTAACTGCAGTGTTTTGAAGGAAGTTACTGAATCATCTTTGATAGGGGACTTATGCTGTTTTATGCAGTGTATAATTGTTTTATTTTAAAATCACCTTTTTCCTGCTTCTGCGTCTCCTTATCATGCTTTTAATCTTTTGTTACCCTACTTCTAATGAGCTTCCCTGGTAATCTGCTTCCTTACTTGTACGGTGCTTGTTCCCCAGAGCCCCCAGACTCATAACTGCCTGTCACTCCTGCTGAACTTGAGGCTTGAGAGTCTTGGTGCCAATGAGCTTGAGTTGACGTTCAAGGCAAAACCATAGATTACCCGAGTCCAGTCCCATTGATGTGGTGGATATAGAAGGTCTGATAACCTCGTCTGTGTTGGGAGCTTCACCTAGCCACACGCTTGGGCTGAAGCACCCTCATGCCAGCCCTGGCTTGAACACACAAAGTTCACTCCAGTTTGGAAGTGCTGTTTAGAGTTGAAACTGTACTGCTTGGGAGACCTGTGTGTGGCACAGTCCAGTGGTACATGCAATAGATATAAACAGCATCAAGTGAAAAGGGGCCTTTTAGGAGCAAGTCGTCTTGCTGCTTTCTAGAGAAATCCACATAGGCGTTCTCTAAAGGTGCATTTATTAATATATTGTTCTTATTTGTATAGTTTTGTGTTATGAGTCTTTTATCTGTGTGTAAATCCATCTGGCACTTTTGAAGGCTTTTAGTGCACCTGTAATAAGCTAAAAGCTCTTCCTTTAAAGGGGAAGCAGGTGACCAAAGAATGAACTTCTTTTCTGGAATGGATGTGGGGGTGACTGGCCTGTAATTGTCTGGATCTTCCTCGCTGCCCTTTTTGAAGACTTTTAAAGATGATGGAGAGTGGCCTAGCAATAACATCAGCCAGCTCCCCCAGCCCTCCTCAGTATATGCCATAGTAACCTATGGATTTGTGAGTGTCAAGTTTGCCTAACTGATCTCTGACCCAGAGATCTAGCCCGCAAACAAGGGCAAGTCTTCCTTCCTCCAGACTTTGTCTTGTCCCTAGGGCCTGGGATACCTGAGGGTTGACCTTTGCAGTAAAGACTGAAGCAAAGGAGGCATTCAGTAATTCTGCCTTCTCTGCACACTGCTCAGCAATGGGCTGACATTTTCCCCGGTCTGCATTTCGCTGCTGGTGGTTTTGAAGAAGTCCTCCTTGTCCTTGACATCCCAAGCCAGATTTAATTCCCGTTGAGCCTTGGCCTTCCTCCTCACATCCCTGCCTACTCTGACGGCATTCCTGTATTCCTCCCAATTGGCCTGTCCATTTTTCCCACAGTCTGTATTCTTGCTTCTTCTGGGTTTTGCCAGGGGCTCCTTGCTCATCCATCTCCTGCCCCTTTTGCCTCACTTCTTACTCTCAGGGATGCTTTGATCTTGAGCCTGCAGAATGTGATGCTTCAATATTAACCAGCTCTCTGGGACCCTCCCACCCAAATAAATTACAAAGTGAATGTGTATTTGCATATTATAGACAAAGTTATGTATCAATTAAATTACAGCCTTATGTTGTACAATTATCTTGAAGGTAGCACGTTTGTATACTTCTGTTGAAGTAACAAGGTATTTGCCTTTCTTGAAACAGGTATGAGTGAGAGAGGTTTTTACATAAACTTTGTTATACAGGGTTTCTGTTGTTCTAAAATCTTATTGCTATTTTAAATAAGCTTAATTTAAAGGTTAGTGAAAAAAAAAGTGTCAATAAAACAATATTAAAAATCCAAATTTCTCAAGGTTGCTCTAATACCTGCTTTTAAAGATTTATGCTATAAGGTAGAAGGTTTTGGGTATGTACCACCTCATTCCTGCAGACAGAAAAATAGCGTGTGTTAACATATGGGATTTTGGGGGCAAATGTCTTCTCTTTATTGCAAAGAATTTCCATTTTATTGAATATGTAAAGTCCTCAAATTTTACTTCTTTGCAGGTCAGAAGCAGAATTTGGATGAAGCAATCTCGCTAAGCTGCCGTCATGAGCAGAAGCAAGCGTGACAACAATTTCTACAGCGTTGAAATTGGGGACTCGACTTTCACTGTGTTGAAGCGATATCAGAACTTAAAACCAATAGGATCAGGAGCACAAGGGATAGTATGGTAAGGTTTCTGTCAAGCTTGAGTACAATTTGAGGTTCATTTTGTTGGATTTTCTAAGTGCCTTGACTTCTGTATGTTACAAAGGAAGAATTTGAAGAACTACGTTTTATATGAAAAATAGCAATATTGACTATTAGCCACTTTTTCCTCAGCAGTGTCTCTTGCTATTGTTTCTTGACCTGCGTGTCTTCCTGCTTCAGAACTTGATGCCCTTCTGTGCAAACCCAAACCTAGCTGGATGTAATGAGTTCCATAAATAATGGGAAAAAGAAACTAATGAATAAAGAAACTAAAATTTTTCCTGCATAAAGAAACTAATCCTAAAATGCAGTGCTAACACTGAAACAAGAGCTAGAAATACTTTCTGTATGCATTTGGTGCTTGTCATGATTCCTCTGTAAATGATACTTGAAAGTAGTTTGTTAGCAGCTTGGTTCATTCAAGTTAATAATCTAACTAGCCTGTGATACCAGTCAGTAGGCATTTATCATGCTGACTGTCAGTGAAATATGTAAATACCTGACATAGTCTAGGAAAATAAGTCCTGACAATAAAACTGTTTGGGTAAGAGCTCTGCCAAGTGGACTAGAGGGTGTCCAATTGCCTTAAGAGCAGTGACAGTTAACTGCTTGTAGGGCATGTTCTCTATGCAGTTATCCCAAAGATAAATGTTAGTTTAAGCTTCTTTGAGCAAGCTTCTCTTTTATGATCAAGATGAGGTTGTAGATAGCACAGGAATTTGCATACTTTCCAATTTGTTATAACTGTAAAATACTAAGGGCAAAAAAAATACAAAAGAAACATTAAGAAATAGAAACTATTTGAGAAAATTATGTATTTTCTTCCTGGTAACTTCTTTTCTTTCTTAAGCCTGTCTTGATCTGTGTTTAGAGCAGCTGTGTTGCATTTTTTTTAATTCATTTTTGCATTTTTGTTGGGATAAAAGATAAAAAGGTATGTTTAGTGCAAAACACCAAGGTAAATAATCAGGAAAGAGGAGCTCTTGAAGTGATAACTTCTGTCATTAGGATTATTTGTTCTGTAAGCTGAAGCAGCAGCAGGAGAAAAAAAAAATATGAATTTTGGTCGTGTGTGTTATTGTAATGAGAGTAAGGAGAGTTGCTTAACCACAGTCTCTTCAGTTGCTACAAAATGACTGCAAAAGCTTTAAGTGCTGCTGCTGTTCCTCTGATTCCCAAATCTCTGTTACTGCCCAATTCCCAAATCTACTGCCCCTCCCTGAGCTGTATCTCAAAACTGCCCGGGTAAGGACTGCCAGTGTCACTCAGGGGAAATTGAAACCTCTTCAGTTTAAACCACTCTAAAAGGACTGGAGTTCTCATGTGGTTACATCTTGCAATGTTTGGAGGACGTGGCGTGCAATTCTTGTGGTTTGTGGTCTCTCTCTCTTTTTAACTAATCCAACCTAATTTGCAGCAATGTAAAGTAGATGCCCAAAAGGCTCAATTGTATCTAACACTGAAACAGACTCTGAGGCCAAGTCCGGGAACCAGGGATGCAAAATTTTAAATACTGCTACAGGAATCTTCCACAGGATTTTTTTCCTGACTATCTCTGCCACTCTTGTGTAAGATAGTCCGTACTAGGGATAGAAGGGGGAAATTCCAGCTTCTTTTTTCTTTTCCTTTATTTTTTCATTCAGTCCTTGAGTGCCAGGGAGTGGAAAGAACTCAGTACCTTTATAAAGGTACTCTCAGAAATGGAGATTCTGCTTTTTTTTTTTTTTTTCTTTTTCCCCCTCGACGTTATGATATATTAGGACTCTGAGACTGGGAAAGTCTTTCTAAATTCTGAGGTGCTCAGCATACAAGTGTACTCTGCTTTTATGATTGTAAGTTGAATAATGCTAGAACTTTGGTTTATCTGTAGACTTGATGCATGATAAAAGCTGATATATGAAGAAGGTGGGAACTGTCACAGCTTACAGGAGTCTAACACTGGGATATAATAATTTGATTTTACTTACAGTGCAGCTTATGATGCCATCCTTGAACGAAACGTTGCAATCAAGAAGCTGAGCCGGCCATTTCAGAACCAAACTCATGCTAAAAGAGCCTACCGAGAGCTTGTTCTTATGAAGTGTGTTAATCACAAAAATGTGAGTGCAGTTTCATACTTTATATATTAAAGAATTGACTAGAAGGTATTTATTTCTAACAATCTTTAGGACGATTTCAGAGGATGACATCTTACACAGGCTGAAGAGGTGTTCAGCGCATGGCCCTATCTCCGTGTTAAGTACTTAAGGATCTTTGAGAAGAACCATTGTTGACTAGTTTTATTACCCACCCAATCTTTAAATGCACTCCTCAAACTCAGAAAGGTTGTCAGTGTTAACATTGCTGCATTTTACAGACAGCAGGCAAGTGGATATACCATGACTGGTAACTATATCCTCCTTTCTGCTGCATCTGCTAAACCAGGATGAGGAAAGAGGCTGCAGCAGATTTCTCTTCTTTTTTCTAATGCATGAATGAATTAAGAACCTTACGGGGTGACAACAGGAACTCTCTGATGTTTGAGAAGCTGTAAAGCAGAGCAAAGCATAGAATTACAGAGAGAATAAGTGATAAATTTTACAGGGTCAGACTACGGAAAGATGTTACTAGTTTTTTCTTCCTTCACAGGCAGCTCTATGCTGTCTTCCTTGCCCTCACTCTTAATACCTCTTCACTAAGATAAAATTTCTCCTGACTGTTGTGAAAGATGATTCATAGAAGGAATATTTTCTTATGGTTACTTTGGAAAATTCTGCCTACTTTCTACGACAGGGATGGTTTATGTGTTGAATCTCTGAACTAAATTTTATCTAACAGCATAATTTGTGTGATGGTGTATTGTTGTTAGCCTGACTCTTCATGATGAACCACAGCTTGACCTATTTCTGTATTTTCTCTCCATTCTTAGCAACTGAAAAATATCCTAATGTAGCTGTAAGAATCTGCTTCTCTCTTTTGGCTTTCTGTCATGTTGCTTACACCTCTGTCTGTGGCAAAGTGGTATCTGTTAGTGTTGGATTTGTTAGTGCCAGATTTTCTTCTTAATGGGATTTTTATTACAGATAAGAAAACCATATCAGGTCTGTTCAAGCAAAGTGGATAGGGGAAGGATAAACTGGCTGCTTTGGGTTTAAACTTGTTAACTTGCAAGTTACCTTGTTAATGCAGACAAAATGTGTTTAGATTATGTGGTATTTTTCCTGGAATCCTCAGCATCTACTATAGTGTTTAGATGCAGTCGAGCCCTTGGATGTATCCGAGCTTCAGTAAAGTTTACCAGGAGGCTTGAATTAGATTACTGTCTATCAGTTTCAAAATGCTGACTTTGCAACTTTGCTATTCTGATTATATTTCCTTGCCCGCTTCCTGCAGATAATTGGCCTACTGAATGTGTTCACACCTCAGAAATCCCTGGAAGAATTTCAAGATGTGTAAGTCTGATTTGAACTAAAGCTGAGAATTAGTTTTTAAAAGATGAACAAGTGAAAGAATACCATAAAATGGCAGTATTATCTGATTGTTCTTTTTTGTTGCTTCATAAGTTACATAGTGATGGAGCTCATGGATGCAAATCTCTGCCAAGTGATTCAGATGGAACTAGATCATGAACGAATGTCATACCTTCTGTATCAAATGCTTTGTGGTATCAAACATCTTCACTCAGCTGGAATTATACATAGGGTAAGTGAGCTTGCCATGTTTGTTTTGTTTTGCACCTGCTTTTGTCTTGGATGTTTAAAAGTGCTAGAAAAAAAGCAGGAATAGCACAAAATACTTCTCAGGCAGAGAGAAAGCTAAAAAGAATTTATTTACCTTTTTTTAACATAGTTCTGAATTTAATCTTTTGAATGTTTTCCTGGGTTTGAGAGTAATGTACACAGAATAAGTAAACAAATGTCTTTACAGTGTATTACATTACATCCTCTCATTCTATATAATAATCTTTATTATATAAAAGATAAAGGTCAGGGGAGGAGAGACCATTTGAAACCATCCCTTCCTTTATTGCTTTGATAACCAAACCTGAAATTCCATCTTTTGAGCTGCCCTTATTGCTTCACCTCTTTTACTAGCAGAGTAATGAATACACACACACACATCTGAAATCTCGAGATAAACAGCTCATGATGAAGACCAGTACATGGAACTTAATACAGCTGCATGTCACAAAGCATTCATTCAAACTGCCTTCGGGAAAACTGAGTATGACTTGTAATATAATACATTTAATTTAATACTAGGTTAATATATATAATTTAATATAAGATTGCCTGGTCAAGTTCAGCATCTTAAATGTTTGTAGGTAGTGTATGAGATTACCTAGTTATAACTTTCTAAAAATACTTTCTGTTATTTTTGGAATCTGTCAACTTGTGTTTTTAGATTTTTTTAATTAACGTTTTTGAGAGGTTTTTTTTGTAAGTTTCTATCTCTGGAAGGATATAGAAGAAATAAACAAACATATTCATGTTGCTTTCCTCTCAGCACTGTATGGTCTTCCTCAAGGATGATGGGGAGAGGAAAGTAAATGGTGAAAAGAGATGTGCGTTGCTCTAGCAGGCATTGTCCTGTTGAGGTGCCACACTAGGGCAGCGGGCTGCTGGCATTATTCTGGGAATGCTAGGGAAAATTGAATTTTGTGACAGAGTTGTGATAACATATATGACGGATATTTTGCAGACCTTTGTGTGCTAATAAGTGTATGCTTAAAGGTATTGAAATAAAAGCGTTTTTTAAGGCCTTTTTGTATTGGAAAAAAATGGCCTACTGTATACACATGCTTGAGTAGGTTAGAGTTTCTATTTCTGTCGATTTTAGTGGTCGCAGAAGGGAGCTTCTTCACAAACAGTTGAACAAATGGAGATGTTTGTACATTTTTAGAAAAGCAGCAGCTATTCTGGTAGTTGTTGAGTAGGAGTACAGGCAGGAGCTGGGAGGGTAGAATGGATGCCTCTAAATACGGGTGACTTTTGAAATGCTTGATAGTGTGCAGGAATATAAAGTTTAAGAATAAGCTACTGTAATGAGGTAGACTACAGCTACACTTGCTATGCAAATGGTAACATGTATGCGTGAATGCTTTCGAAGGACGTGGGCACGTGCATTTCACCTGCTGCTCCTCGGGATAGGTTTTCATTGGACAGCCCTTTTCCATACCTGTTAGGAGATGTAGTCTGTAGCAAAGCGGTAGCATTGTTTACCTGCAATATATTAATATATTATACCTTTACACGTAAAGGTGCACAGTGTCAAGATTTGTTCTGCCTGGAACAGTTTTTTTAAAAAAAAAATCTCTGAGGATGAGGGTGGCAGCCTTCACCTGGAACGGAGGTGGTGGCAGTAGCAACTTCTTGTGGCAGTCTGTTGGGCTTTCAGCAGCACTGCCCTGAGGGAGTAAAGCTAATTTCTACAATGAAACTGCATGACTTCGTGTCTGCTTTTGGACTATTCTTGGTATTGGTCTAATGTATTTTTTTGCATCTTAGGTTTTGAGCCTTTTTTGTCAGTAGTTTCACATGGTTTTTGAGTTGGTTCAGTTTTTTCAGAGAGCTATGGTATCTTAATTAATATCTCCATTTTTTTTTTTAAAAAAAAAAGCTGATTGAATTTCTAAAGCATTCATATTCTCTGTAAGTACTGTTTGACACTGCCTGCTGCGGAAATAGGTTTTCTACAGACATGGAGCAAAGTAGGGATCGCATTGAAAGAATTTTAGACTGTGTTGCATTGGAGTTATAGAGGGCATACTTGACTTTCACATTAGTAGATAAAGATTTGGCTGTGGCTTTACACTGACTTTATCAGAGGTTGATAAATAGTATTTAAAGCCTTTTGTGGAGATGGGCTTTGCAGCAAGTCTGGAGATAGATACACGTTCATTTCCATTTGCACCCTGACAGGGATGGCTAGGGTTGCGCCTCGCTGACTCGCTGAAGGACAGAGTGGGTTGTTAGTCGTGCATGGAGGCTCTGTTTTCTCCTCTCTACTTTGGAATACTTAACAAAGATGCCTAATTGTGGGAGCCCATCATTCAAATCTTTGTATAGAAAGAGACTTCTTCAAAAACTGTTTTAATCTATTTAACGTTAATGAATTACTCTCCAGCGATGCCTCTCCATTCCTGCTTTGTTCTTAGGGAATCTGCTGTGAATTATTTCTCATTTTTTAGGCACCGGTATTTAAGAGTTTAACATTAGATTATTTATTTTCTGCTATAGTTTCTGAATAGGTTTGTACAGCCCAATTAGTTATCCTTATAGGAACTTTAGAGTTCTGATGTGTTTAAAACATAGGAGATATTCATCAAGTCTGGATGAATTTGGAATGCAGTTTAGGTCAGCGTTTGCCTCTGGCATTTTGAAGGGCAGGAGTTTTGTATTCCAAATTCCTGTATTCCAGCATATTCCTAGGCTTCGTGACAGTCACATAATGTTCGGAAATTAAGGAGAGGCAATAATCTGTAAGCCCTTGCTTTTTGTTCTCAAAATTTTTCCCTTGTATGAAGCAAACATCTCTTAACATTTTCAACTTTAATCCTGCAGCTTTGAAGAGGATAAATGTGATTAATGTCACGAGCATGCGCCTGAGGATCAGTAATGAAAACAGTCTAAATAATAGAAATGTGTAAAAGTAAAGCTGATAAATAGGATTATAGCAGAAACAGAAATGTGCATATTAAGTATCTGAAATGTGTACTTGAACTTATTTAATGCATTTGAGAATCTTTGAAGCCAAAGTTGTCTGCAAGGTCTGCGTGTGATTTGGAAAAATGTGTGAGTGTGTGAGTATGCAAGACTTTAAAATTGTGTTTACCCATTACCCTTCTGGTGTTCAGGTTCAGATGGTTCTCTTGTCTGTGGTTTCTTCTTTGTCCTTAGTGCATACTTCCATATCCTTAGTGCAAAGTAATGCAAGTGAAAACTAAATAAATCGTGCAGATGGCACCTTTTAAGTCTCTGAAATAGTAAAAGGCAGGCCTAGTAATCAGGTGCTTGCATCAAACACTGGAGTCCTGTGTGAGAGTGTATTTTTTTTTATGGGGATCGAATTAATATTGGTAGGTTGTAGGCCAAAAAGAGGATCCAGGCCTCTCTGGTCTGTTATGGAAGATTTTGTGATGATTTTAAGGCAAAGTTGTTTGGAAGTTGCTGTTAATGTTTGCTCTGTGACATTCAGTTGTATGTAAGGTCCTGCTGAGCTGACAACTGAGTTCGTCTGGATAGCATCTATATGAGTAGACACTGCAAAGCCAGGAGTGTCGGTGTGAATTTGGAATCCTTGTGACTTTTCCTGGAAGAGTGAAAGGATAAAAGGGGCAGCAGAAAACTGAAAAGTGATTTTAGAATTTAAGAGAAGAGAATACATTTACAACGAAATTATCTCAGGGCATTTTTCACTCTTATTTTGAATATTAAGTGATAGTGTCTGGCAGTTTTTTATTGCTGACCTTTTGGGTTTGGTCATCAAAACTTACTGTAGATGTAAATCAAATTGTAAGCATTAGTGTCTGTGAGCACTGATTTTCATCTTGTTCAAAGAAACCACCTGCATTGGTTTACAAAGAGGTAACGCAGCCTCAAATAATAAAGAAACTCTTTACTATCACATGTTGTATTTAAGAATTTTTATGTTGTGATGACTGTTGCATCAAGTGAATTCAGAATATTCATGTTAGCTGTGACCTGCGTTGCAGTAACAGCTGTGGTTCCAGTGGAGAGTTTCTAGTGCTTCCCCCAGAGCTAATGCTTCATAATAACCTCAATTCATCTCAGACATTGCTAACGTATCTGTAACACTAGTTGTGGTTTTCTTTTTTAATTGTTAACTAATCTAGAAGCATAATAATAAAAGGAATAGAGTTTGCTGAATGCATATGAATTAAAACAAGGGGAAAAGGCACTGTGGTTATTCACATAACAAAGTTGTAAATGTGGGTTGACAGTTTTCTTTTTAAAAATGTGAAACACCAAGTACTTGTGTTTGTCTTAGCAGTCATATATGATGTTTCTTTTTCAAGGATTTAAAGCCCAGTAATATAGTAGTAAAGTCAGACTGCACTTTGAAGATTCTTGACTTTGGACTGGCCAGAACTGCAGGAACTAGTTTTATGATGACGCCTTATGTAGTGACTCGTTACTACAGAGCACCAGAGGTCATCCTAGGGATGGGATACAAAGAAAACGGTCAGCAAGTACAGTCTTTCTTTGGCATAGCTTTATTTATTTTTTTTTGTTTGGCACACCACATTTTACATGTTAATGTTTTTATTTATTTCAATCTGTAGAAATTATTTATAAATGAGCACTGCAACCAAAGTGCACAGCCTGGTTACACTGATTCGTTTATTTAACGAAACACATTGCATTAATAGGAGAAGAAATTGAGGGCCTTGTTTGTTTAAAAATTTGAATAACCTATTTGGAAGAATAAGTTTCATTCAGGAAGAGCTGAATTAAACTTAATTTAGGTATTTTCTTATAAATTAAACTTATTTTAAGTATATTTAAGTATTTTCTTAGCATTTGTTACATTGATATACCTTCACTGACTATATTCCTGATAAAGATGTAAATTGTTGCTCATTGGTAATTGCATATCCCAAATTTAATTTTACATGACTATATTCAATGTAGCCTTTAACCTAAAGGAACTTATGGGCTACTGAGATGTGAATGAGCTCAGGCTGCCCGCTGTGACATTGCCTTTTTTTGAAACGAGCCCGTTCTAGAAATTGTGACATGAAGTTCTTGCTTAATGGCACTAAGAAAAAGTGCACTTCAAATGCAGAGACTTGTCACAAAACGTCCTGGGTTCTTTGAGGTCCCTGAAAAGGGAATTTCAGAAGAGGTGATTGTTTATTTTGTCCCCCTGCTTGCAGACATTTCCTTTCTGTTGGTACCCACCTTGTGTCCCTTCCCAGAATCTTAGATAAGAAACTGAGGAAGGTTATAAGGGAAGATGAGGGCAAGTTACGTAATGAGGTACATGACATCCTTCACGTGCCCACCTGGTAGCCCTTAGGAAGCAGAGGTGAGGTGACATTCCTGAACGCAACTGCGGCGCTCCCGGTCCCGCTGCCGCTTGGCGCGCGGGGCTGCAGCTGCTGCTGCCGGTTCTCATCCCGGTCGCTCAGCGCCGGCTTCCCCGGGGGCCGCAGGGCGCCCGGTCCCCTCGGCTGCAGGGGTTTTAGGCTCCCTATTGATCGGACCGGCCGCGAGCCCCGGGACATGACCCGCTGCTTTGTGAGCTGAGATCCTGCCCCCGTTACAGCCGGGGCTTTACGCTGCTTTTCAAGATTTGCTGCAATCTGCAGACCTCCCTGGCAGCTGCATAACATGAGGGCAAATGGCTGCAGGCTCCATGTAACTTTCAGGAGCACAAAGATTTGATTTTTATTAAAAGAAAACAAGAATAGCTCCTATTGGTGCTAATGGGGGAAGATGATAGTTCAGAGAAATGAGAATAGATTCCCCCAAGGCAGTGGTTTATATTTTCTCTATGGCTTATTAGTCTGCATGAGAGGAGTATATATGCTTTTAAGTGGCTTTCACACTTTTAAGTGGCCATTTTTTGTATGGCTTGGAAGTCAGAGCCTAAATTTAATTTTCTAACTGATGAATTTTAAGTTTTGCAGACATCTTGAATTCAAGCTTTTCTTTCTCTCTTTTTTTTTTTTTTTCCTCTCTCTCTCTAAGAGAACTTAAAAAGTAACTTAGTGGGCTGAGCTGAGTCCAAAGACAGTCTGGATTCTGTATGTACTTCAGCTGGTTTTTAACTGAATTGCCCAGTAGGGGATATCTGAAAGCAGGAGAAGGGTAAGCTCATTAGCAAAACATCATCTAATTACAAGGCAACACAGGATGACTTGGTCAGTGAGAGTAGCTCAGCAAGTGCCCAGCTGGTAGGAGGACACAGGTCTTCTGTCTGGCAGCCTTCTTGCTGGCTGCAATGAGAGGGTCCTGAGGAGGAGACAGGTCCAGGGATGTCGCTAAAAGATGATTTACATCAACTGCTGCTGCTCTTAAATGTTTTGTGCCACGGGCTGCCCTGGGTCCCCAGCATCTGTTGCTGTTCTAGCCCTTCCCACCTAAATTTGAATTGCAGGTCAGTGTATTTCACTCATAGGTAAATCAAAGGCTCTTGAAAATTGAGAGCTAGCTATTAACTAGTAAAGGAGAAGCTAACATTTAGTTTAATTGGACAGGATCAGCTCACAGCTTTATCGAGCTTTAGTGCCTTTTAAATTGTGCCCCCAAACAAAAAGCGAGTGTTGCAATATATAGATGATGGAGATCTACACTGTAGCAAAGTACTCCTTCTGTATATTGCATGTATATATAAAATGTTTAATAATGTTAAAACTACAAAATAGCATTAGCTCTATGTAGACTCCTTGATACTGAAGCGGATAAACCACTTTTGGATAGATCGCATTAGAAAGCAAGCCTTGCAAACATGGGAACTTGTACTCGATCACAGCACCCAAATAACACTGCACAGTAGTACAGAAGGGTTTGCCTGGTACCTTCAATTTAATTTCTCCATCTTAAAATATTTAGATTTGTGCGTAGTTATGCCTTTTACTTCTAGGGAACATTTCATTAAAAAGTTAGGAAACACCCAAAGTATCTAAAGCAAATACTTCTTAAAGTTCCTATTCTGTGCGCTTGGTTTCAGCTTCACTTTTTCATTTTTTTTCTCTCAGTTATAGAAAATAGCAAATTCACATCAGACAGGCTTCTGAAATAAAAAACTATATTACTAACAGTGGACCTTAAAAAGGAATTTTCAAACCTATATTTAGATTTGACTCAGTCCTCTATAACAGTCTTCAGAGGGGCAGCCCTCTGTGAGTAAGTTAGCCTAGCTTTGTTAAAAAAAAAAAAATAAAATAAATAGACATATTTTGCTTTTTCTATTTTATCATAAGATGTAGACAATCATTTTTTAAATAAACCAGGCCCTTAATTTTGTTAATGTATACATTAATTTTGTTAATGTATACAACTGTGATTTGTTTTTGTATGATTTGGGTACTATGTCAGAGGAACTACTAAGTAAGAAGAGGAGGAATATTTTCAAAAAGAACCAGTGTTGTTTGCTTAAAACTGCTTAAGTCCCTTGGAACTTTTACATGTGATTTTTATTATACAGTTGTTTTCATTGAAATTGATTTTTTTTCCTGTCTTATAAATGCCAATCTTGTGTTTGATGCATAACTTTTCATAATAATACCAATTCAGCTGTAAGATTTTAGGAAGACTTTTGCATATAGCCACCAGTATCTCTGAGAGCAATAGAAAAAAAATGGCATGCTTCTAAAAAGTAATTTTGTGCATCTTTCAGTATGTCTTCGGAGTGATTTATCTTAAGATAATGTAGCAAATGTTTTGTGGACAGAGCTGTTATTGTAGGAGATTTTTGTATAAGATGTTATTTGAACAGAACTGCAGAAATAGTTTTATACCAATTATTTAAAGTAAAAAGGCTTATGATAACATGCTAATACTGTCTTTAGCTGATCCCCTAAAATTATAGGTGATCTTCTACTGAATGTGTTTTACTGATTCCCCTTTCTTTAAAGGGAGAGAGGAATGCATGATAAACTGACTTTTAGGAAATACTCAATGGCAAATTTTTATTCTTATACAACACCTAATTAATTCTGCTCCTAAAAGTAAAAGCAATTTAGATGTGCTGTATTTTTAAAGGTCAGTTTGGTTTGCTATTTTTGAAATGATTCCTATAACTACACTGGAATTAGTTTGAGGAAATGTACTTATCTCTGCTGCCTCAATCTAGTCTATTGGCAGTGGCAGCTTTGCAAGCCTCAGAGGCTGAGGAGCTTTATAGGGCTGATTCGTGTGCCTCTCTGCCCCCTTTCCTCTTGCTGAGCCCTGTGTTAAATGAAAGGCTGCTTTGCTGCCTTTCACTTGAGATAGTTAAAAGCTAACCACCTTTGTACACTGTGTTTTTAAAATGGTTTCATTGATTGATGTAAAGACTTGCTCTTCTTCCTGTGCTGTCTCTGCAATTTGTAGGATGCAATCATGTTATGCTTCTTTTCATTTTAAATGACCGTTTGCTTTGCTTTTCCTTCTTTTTGTGCTACAAACATAGTGGATTTATGGTCTGTGGGGTGCATTATGGGCGAAATGGTTTGCCACAAAATCCTCTTTCCAGGAAGGGACTGTATCCTTGTGCTGCTGCAGCAGGTTGAATTACTAGGAAGTGCTGAACCTTTTCCTTAATGTTCTGTCATGAAGATGCACGTTGTACAATCTGTCCGTGAAATTGACATGAATTTTTCTTGTGATAACGCTTAAAAAATTGGGGAGGTGAGAACCACATTTATCCCGAGGCTGCACCTAGCAGTAGGACATAGTCTCTGCTGGTCCTGTAGCTAGCACACGTTCATCTTCACTCATCTTCATTACACACGCTTTTTATAATCACTTCACGTGTGTGTGTGTGTTTGTGTGTCTAGGTATTTTTATTTACTTTATTTTAATAACTTTTATGTTAATACCATTGCATTTTTGTTTTCAGTTGACATTTGGTCAGTTGGGTGCATCATGGGAGAAATGATCAAAGGTGGTGTTTTATTTCCTGGTACAGATCGTATCCTTACCCTTGGCCTAGGCTGTAGTTTTAAGATACAAGAGGTCAAAAGATACTGCAGCAATTTAATTCCAGCTTAAGGTAGTTTTTAAAATACTGTTTTTAAACTGCCTTTTAAAAATAAGATTTGCAAGTTTGTGATTTTCATTCTAAGATGTTGCAAATATGACTGCAGTTATGCCATGTAAAGCGGAGCCAGAATGCAGATAGCATTGTCATGTATTATTGTCTATGTAGATGAATGCAAACTAAGAAACTCCAGTAAGATAAACCAAGAAACATGTGGGCAACCAGGTTTATTTTTCCTTTTTTCCTTTGTTTATTTTCCCAGTTTAATAGTGTCTACCATTGCTTTTGGGTGTTGTCACATTCAAGATAGTTTCGTTGTTTTGTTTTGTTTAGATGGCACTGTAGTGATTCACATCAATGGATTTTTGCTTGGAAGCTCATTTTTATGTAATAATTTATTAATCCTTTTTGGTACCTGAGGGCATTATGTTATTTTTGTGTTTTATAGAAGATAGAAAAATATTTCTAACCAGATAAATGGCTACAGTCTGGAGTTCTATCCTAGGCAAAAATGATTCTGTCTGAAGTAGCCAGCACTCACGTGTCTCTGTTCCGTGAACGGCTTGTGTCCGTGTGGCTTGTGCCATGTTAACTCTGCTACCAACTTAGGATCTGTTGCTTGCAGATAAAACCAAAACCCTCTGCATCTTCACCAAAATCAAGGGGATTAGAGTTTTACTGGAAGTTAAACTCCAGTTGCAGACACATGCCCTGAGATGCTTTTCCTGGCTTTGCTGCAGGTTGGTTGCCTAATATTGGATACACCACAATTTATAGGTGAAGATTTTGAGGCAAAGTGAGGGGATGCAGGGAATCTTTACTTTCATGCAGCTCTCTCATTGCATTGGCTGTGCTGTACCTAGCTTTATAAATCTGCTTTGCTAGCGCATGGATGTTCAGTTTATCCACCATGCCATACATTGGCAATACTTTTTTTCTAGGTCTGTGATAAATTAAAATAGAAGAGCTTTAAAATCTTTATGCAAACATGTGCCACTGTTCAGAGGCAGTGTTCAGTGCTGGCCTGGCATGAAGTTTAGCCTGCTCCATATCCTGTCCTTGAAAGCAGCCCAAGAGAAACAGCTGGGAGGAGTGCCCGAGCTAGATAAGCACATCGCAGACTTCTCCTGCATCCTCTCCCAGTATTTAACCACCTGCAACTAGGAATTCCTGAGCCAAACATGGTTTTTGATGTTTGCATCCACTGGGGTCTTCTGCAAGTTCTATAAACTTACTAATTTGGATGTGCACTACGTGCCCTTGGAGCCGTTCGGCTCCTGCCTTGAGGCCTTAGCTGAAGTTCTCACTGACTTGGGTGGGGGCCGAGGTTCCCGGCGGCGGAAGCTGCAGCAGCCGGGAAGCTCCTGCCCGCCCGGCGGCCTCCCTCAGGCCGACAAGGTGCTTCCCAGCCTGCTCGCTGCCCAGCACGTGTCTAGATCAGACAGTAAGTTCTTCCCCAGCGTCTCCTCAAAAGAAGAAAAAACTTCACATGTATTTGTTAAATCGTGTAAGTCTTCTCATTTACTCCATTTCTGAGAAATATATCCTTTGCCAGTTAATTCATACAGTTCTGGGTAAAATTCATGTTGGCTTGATTACTGTTCATAGTTTTGCATTAATGATACGAACCTGTTCTTTCGTTACAATTGCCTATATTTTATCTCTTTTGCCTATTTCATATGGTTTAAACCTAACTTTTTAGCTGAATATTAGACACTGTTTTTCTTAGCTGCGTAACCTTAGATATTGATCAATGGAATAAAGTTATAGAGCAGCTAGGAACACCATGCCCTGAATTTATGAAGAAATTGCAGCCTACAGTCCGAACTTATGTGGAGAACAGACCTAAATACGCTGGATATAGCTTTGAGAAACTCTTTCCAGATGTCCTTTTCCCAGCTGATTCTGAGCACAATAAACTTAAAGGTAAGGTCGTCTTTTGTTTGCTAAACATTCCTCAAGTATTTAAACTTTTGAATATGCCCAGATGTATCCTTTCCTTCCTCCCTTTTTTTCCCCTCCCTCCTTTTTTGTTTTCTTTTTTTTAATTGCTGTGTAGACTTCCTGTTCCAATAAGAAGCTTGATAAATACAAAAAGCTGATTTTTTTGCTGTCTGTACTTGCTTGTGGGAAGATTATGCAGCATTAGAATGTGGTGTTAAGCTATTTTTTGTGTTTATCTTTTTTCACAAAAAAATATTTATTCACTTTCCGAAACTGCAAATAATGTGAGGCTTATATAGCTATTAAGCCTTGATTTGTTTACCATAAATCTTTTCCCATATACTTGAAAATACTGCATTATATGCATATGGCGCTAGTCTAAATAGGCAATTTCACTCTTGCAGCAAGTCAAGCAAGGGATTTGTTATCAAAAATGCTGGTTATAGATGCTTCTAAAAGAATCTCTGTGGATGAAGCCCTGCAGCACCCGTACATCAATGTCTGGTATGATCCATCAGAAGCAGAAGCTGTAAGTCCTTGGTTTAGGCTCCGGTTAGTCGAGTACTGTATTAAAGCCAACTTAGAATTTTTATGCGTTATTTAATTGCCTGAAAGAAGATTATTGTCTGAGCTACACACATCACTAGAAGCTTAACTGAGCTATGATCGTATTTTAGTGGTGTATTTATTAGAACATAAGTATTAGAACTGGTGCAGGCTTGCAGACAGCTGAAGTGTCTGTATCTCTGTGCGTGTTGATTCGTGTGTTAATTGCATATAACCTGCCAGGCATTCAGTAATGCATCTAAAAGCCCTGGTACTAAAGTGTAATTTCCTGAGCTTTGTTTATTTCAGTGTGGGTTGGTTGCGCTTGATAAAAATCTGAGACATTTACTACTTGGCCAGAGAAATACTCTCATTGCAATAGTCTAAGCAGTAGGTGTTCCAGCAGAAAGGGAGTACGAGATCTTGAGTTTTCTAGTTATTGACACTAATAAAAACAGAGAGGAGGGAGAGTAACTTATTTTTTTCTCCAAAACTAGTTTCAAGATTTTTTAGAGGTGCTGAGAAATAGCTTGCTATTTTTTAAGAGAATGAATGGTATTGGGCAATGTCGCACTGGGAATGGGAAAAGGGGCTTTATTTAAATGGTACTGTCAGAATTCTGATCTATAAAACTAAAGGAAAAAATTAGTAATTAACAGTAAATACGTATAAAGGGCTGTTTGAGACTAGAGACTGCAAGCTATTTTTACCAGATTGGGTTATGATGATAATCCAAGCAAATTTGCCAATCAGTTGAAAATGTTACATTTGATTAAATTTGAATGAATATTTGATTAAAGTATTTTTAAATTGGCTTTATATTCTGAAGTTCTTATTTTCATTTTTATTTATTCAATTTTTGTATCTCTTAATTACTTTGTCATGAGTTGGTTTTGTTTTTCAGCCTCCTCCGAAGATACCAGATAAGCAGTTAGATGAGAGGGAGCACACGATAGAGGAATGGAAAGGTAAGAAGAGCCCTCTGAGTACAGCGAGGCTGATGAGTAGGCTTGGCCCCAGGGCTCCCGGTTCCTGGCGCACTCCGAACGGCGTCCGCCTCCGTGCTCCGGAGGGCCGGGAGGATTCAGTGCAGCTTCCGCTTGTTTGTTGGGATTTTCTTCCCTTCTTTCCAGTAGCTTGTGGTCTGGCCTCTGGAAACGAAAGAACAACTCTGCCTTCCAGTGACAGAGGGTCTTCAGCTGATGCTTGCCAGGACTCACTTGCGCAGTTACCATCTTTTTTTTGAGGGGGGATTTTTTTGAGGGGGGTGTTTAAAAAAAAAGAAAAAGGTGGCAGATCAAATTCTAAACATTTTGAATTTGTTTCAGAGGTTGAGACTGCCACCTAATGGAAAAAGTAATAAATGTAGTGTGTGAAATGTTTTATTGAGGTAAGGAAGAATCAGTGTGGGAGCTGAAAAACTTCTCCAAAACAGCTGTTTTTTCCATAATATTGCCCATCAAATTTGTACGTAGCTCTGACTTTTGGGGTGCCAGTTCTACATGGTATTAGCACAGCTCGCTTGAGGGAGGATTTTACGCTGCAGGTGGGTGGAAGGCTTGTCCAGAGAAGTGCCATCCAGCCCCTCTGATCCTGCCTAGGAAGCACTTGGCTTGGTGGTTCCCGAGGGAGCACAGCTGTGACGTGCAGCCCCAGCAGCAGCCGTGGGGCTCCGGGCAGGTCCCTTGGAGTAGAACCAGCTCCTGGAGCCTCAGGGAATCCTTGAGAGGCCAGGGGAGCTCCAACAAGAAGAGAATTGTGTGTTGTTGCATCACTCTGTATTCATTTCTTTATTGCAGTTTCTCTGTAGCTAATACCTGTGTTGTTCAAAACGAATTCCAAGTAGCAATAAACCTGTGAAAATGAAATGTACATTGTAATAAGAGATTGCTTATCCATTTGGAGTTTGGGGATTTCACTTTTCTGCTTTCCCTTCCCTGTATTTCAGAGTTGATATACAAGGAGGTCATGGACCTGGAGGAGAGAACCAAGAACGGGGTTATACGTGGACAGCCAGCCCCTTTAGGTTGGTTACAATAAAAGCACAGTGCCAAGCTCCCGAGTTGTAGGTCCGGAGGCCGTAGATCTGAGATACCTGAGAGTAACATAACGCAAAACCTGTCCAAAACCTGTCTCTTTTATGACCTGTCAGCTCTTGAATTCTCTTTGAGGTGATGCTTATTTTAATGGTATGTACAGAGCTGACATTACTTAATGGAATATTTCCCTTTATCAGTCTGGTAATCTCCTCTGTCATTGTCCCCATATAACCGATGCTTCATTTATTTTTCCTCAAGAAGCATCCAGGAATATACTGGTACCTTATTGCCAGAATCTGATTGTTCCTGGTGAGCTGTGTGACAGGCAACTGGTGCGGTATCACAGAACGATATAACCACCACTTACATACCTTAAATAATGAAATAGGGCATTTCTTCAAACTCGGTGATCAACGGGGGAAAAAAGTGACTATGAGGAGGAGACAGACTAGTGCAAGTACTGAACCATGCAACTGTATCTGCAACTGATTTGCTGTTTTGTTTCTCATAGCACAGGTGCAGCAATGATCAATGGCTCTCAACATCCATCTTCATCGTCATCCGTCAATGACGTGTCCTCAATGTCAACAGATCCAACATTGGCCTCTGATACGGACAGCAGTCTAGAAACATCAGCTGGACCTTTGGGCTGCTGTAGATGACTACTTGGTCTTTTGGGGGGTGGGAGGGGAGGGATCCTTTTAGTCATTGATGGGGCACCTTTAAGAGTTGGTGGTATTTTTGAGTGTTTTTTCAGAAATAATTGTAGGATTCATCATAAAGTGCTGTAATTTTAAACTGTAAGTTGTGTTAAAAGCAGCCACTCTTTTTTTTTTTTTTTTTTGCTGTAATTACCTCTGTAAAATATTAAACCTGATAATTTTTATTGTGGTTTTAAAATCTGCATATTTGCTTTACTATTATGCTGCTGATCTTTTTTTACTGAATTTTTAAGATTTGTTTTATGAAAGCACATGTTAATGTTGTCATTACCATATCTTGAATTATTTAAGATTTTATAGGTTTTTAGTTTTTTTTAATTAGAATTTATTCCAGATGTTTTGTTCATGATATCCTTCAAAGTTTTATGCTTGGTCGTACATCCATATCCAGTTGGAGGGGGAAATAATTCAGTGTAGCCAGCTGTAGTTTTGGGCATACTACTGTAGTGCTGGCAGGGAATAAAATCCTCTTATTTTGGCCACTTGCCTATATATTTCAGTAAAGGTAGCAATTAGTGAATTGTCCTTTGCAAATTAATCTCATCTGAATGGCTTTACAAACTTAAGAGAGCAAAGCATATCTTCAAAACTGCAGAAATGTCTAGCCCAGCAAAGGAAGATGATGTTTTCTGCAGAGATGGGGCATGCCAAATCTCGTGATCACCGTAAAACACGAGGATACTTCATGAATAACACATTGCAATGCAAATAAACTTCTAGCTCGTAGCCTGTATTTGTACACACAGAGCAAGGCGTATCCAGGATGTCTAGACTGCCAACAGGGAAAACCATTAGGCTGTAGCTCGACTTCCATGCAGTACGGGATTCTTGGGAATTTAGTTTCTTACTATTTTTTTATTATTAAGGTGAGTGCATTTTGGGGAGAAGAAAGTGACGTGAATGCAATAGGGGCAAAACTTCAGCCATTCTTTCTCCAGCAAAATTAACTGCTAAAAACCTTTATGTGGCAGAAGAACCTCAGGATGTTAAGATTTCTGTAGCTAATGCATTGTGAGCAATATATGCCATCCAAAGGAGGAGAAAATAGTGCTGTATAAATAAATATTTTTCACTTCACCATGAGACCAGTGTAGCAGAAATCTTATAATGGTTCATTTTAAGTCATAAATATTCAGTAGTTTTCAGCACTGAAGCTCCAGGTTTCGATACACTTTTTAAACAAAAGATATATTGAAATATATAGAACAGTTACTAAATAGTCATGTAAAATGGTGCTGCTCCTCACAGAAGTATTTTAACTGTTTACATTTTATAATTACATGATGATTTATGTATAACTGACTTAAGTTTATGTATTTAAACAATCATTCAGAATTTATTCCTTTGGAAAATGCAGATTTCTAGTGAAGCTAGGCTGTAGAATTGGTTGCCTTGTGTAGATGCATATTTTGTGTAGTGAATTAGAATGTGAAGAGGAAGGCAAAGCAGCGATCCCCAGAGCTGAGCCTAAGGCAGTGGCGAAGCCTTGCCAGGCACAGAGCAGGAGCCCGTGCTGCGCCTGGCTGCCGGGCGCGGGGGAAGCTGAGCAGCTTTCGGAGGTCGTTACTGAAAGAAGAACATTGGCCTTTGCAGCGTGTTTCAGAAAGACGTAAGTGACAGTAACACTTTCAGTACCTTAACAGATGTCTTTAAAACAAACAAACAAAACCCCACAGGGTTACAAGAAATGGTAATGTCTCAAACACGACTAAAGTGATAACCTGCACAGTTGTTTTCCTGGCCTGGCTAGCCTGCTGGTAAGTGATACGTGTGTGTAATTTTGCTCTCCTCGCTTGTATCAGATGTTTCAATATTGCCTTTCTAAACCACGTTAGGTAAGGCAGTTGTTCTTACAGGTTCCTGCCAAGTTGTGTATTACCTCAGAGCAGGCAGGACATGTTTGGATTCATCTGGCACTGGGACGTAGAAAATGTGCTCATGTTGAATGGAGACCAACAGAACAGTCTATCTTGTAACTTTTTATTAAATTTTAAGCTGTGAATTAAGCCAAACTGTTGAGGCATACAACAGTACTACATTGTATGGTAAGGTCAAATGATATTCTGGTTAGCCCAGTATAGTTAACGATGACAGAATTGACTTCTAATGTTTTTAAGAACAAAATTTGACAAATATCACTTGTATTTAAAATGATTTCGGACCCCCCCCCCCTCGGATTGCAGTGGTAGTTTAAATATTTTGATACTTTTGAATTTTTTGGTATCACTTTCCAGTGTCCTCAAGAAAATATGACTTAAAGTGAATATGAAGTGAAACAATTTCTCTGTTCCTTTTTCTTACAACGTACAGGTTGAGTCTAATCTTTCACCACTGGGTGGTAGCAGTAGTAACTACATCGAGTTTATAAGCAGGAAGGAGAATTAAGCTTCGTTCTTTGAAGACAGGCCCGATGGAGGGACTCTGCAGGACAACCCTTGGTATGAAGTGAGGTGTCGTTCAAGGTCTGGAAGGTCAGAGCTCGGCCTGTAGGAACCTGTAGTTTGGCCCCAGCTTCATTGTGATTGTACCTGTCTGCAGTTTGTTGTATGTTAGGCAGTGGAAAGGGAGGGCAAATCAGGAATCTAGTATCCAAGTTATCACAATAGGCTCTTCTTAACTTCCCATTTTATTTGTTGAAATATAAAACTATTTCAGAGACGCCGTTACGAATAGTAAACAGATGCGTAGCTGGAGTTCAGGTGTATTAGTCTATTTTTCTGTTGTTTGCTGCTACACTATCTAATGCATTGTACAGCTTTACATTATTTTCGAGCTTTATTTTATTAGACGATTCCCAACTATTTTCCTAACCATGACTTTGGCTGAAGTGCATGCATTTCCCCCCTGCAGCGCCATTCCCGTGCCCCGGAGTGGGCAGTGAGCCGACCCCGGTGCCAGGTGAGGCCAGCACGCGAGCACGGAGAGCAGCGCGTTAATTCCCGCCGTCCGGGGTCAGCTGCGGCCGGCGTCGAGGGCAGCGCAGCCGGGAGCGCCTTGTTCCGTAGCAGTAGGTGCGTCACCCTTTTCACTAGAGCGAGGGAGAGAGGAAAGGTTAGTGCTGCTGCTCTGCGCGGCACCTGCCCCAGAGGCCTGGTGCGTGTGTGCACGTCCGGGCGAGCGCAAGCCGAGCTGAGCCAGCCCATGCTGGCCGGGTTGCCCCATTCCTCTCATCTGCCCCCTCAGCACAGTCAGGGGGCAGCCTGGATTTCCACCGAGTTGCTCCTTGCCACATGTAGCCGGTGAGGAATTCCTGCTGGACACGCTGCTGGTGGCAGTGTAAAGTACAGGAGCACACGCAGCTCTGCCGTGCGACTGTCCGCGGCAGTAGCTCCCTCTACTGATGTAGTGTAAGGAGGAGTGTTCGGGATGGGTGGGTTTGTTTCATGGAAAATTGCATCCTTAAAGGCAGAGGCTATCCAGCTAGAACCAAAGCACTCTGACAGGCATTTGTGAGAAGGTAATAATGCTGCATTAATGTATACGGCAGTCAGCAGTGGGTGAAGAACAAACGATCACAAATCCAAGTGGATGGCTTCCTACTTGTGCAGGAATCCCACACACCTGAGACTGAATTGTGTCAGTGCTTGGTCTTACACTTGTAGCAGCTAAAGTAAGTGTAGCTGTACTTGCTGTTGCCAGCAGCGTGCTGGGCTGCACATCTTGTTGGACTGCCAATGGTTTGGGTTGCCTGTTTTGCCCGATGTCCTTAGTTTGAGATTTAAGGTTAAAATAGAGCTGTCAGCTTTTTTCGTTAGGATTAGAAAGAAGGCATTAACAGAGAATGTGCAGTGAGACTCAACTGGCTCTTCAAATTTTTAATTCACTTGATTTATTCTTAGTTAAGGGCACTGGATTAAAGTGATAATGTCAGTAAGGGAGCTGTTGCCTGCCCTTCTCCTCCTTAGACCTCTCTGCGTTACAGAGCCATGACTCTGAGCACTTCACGTGGTGTTTCCACTGTCACAGTTAAAAATTTAAGCTAGGTTTTTCTCGAACTACCTCACACAACCTTTCTACATTTCTTAAGTAAGCCAAGCTAACCCTTGCTATTGGAACTACACTGAATGTGAACTGCAACACTAGACTTCCTCTAGGAACTAAAGCCCTGGCCAATGTTGAGACACTATCAGTAAGTATGTTTCTTATCTAGTTCATGTGAGATGTTCAGGTGTAATATATAGCTCGTGTACAATACTGTACATCTAGAATATTGTGTTGGCTGTAAATTGGTGATTTTCTTATTGTAGTCTGGTTTTGTAGGTAAAAATAGCTTACTGGTAATGTCAGCTCCTCCTTTACATTTTACAAAAGGAATAATTCTTGGTAAGCTTTGCATACAGATGAATTACTTTTGTAGGCCCAATATCTAGTCTATTTTTGAGAGCTGTTAAATGTTTATTACTAAAGTTGAGAGAAAAAAAAAGCCTAGTTACTGTGATCATTTCTCCTGCCCCTTTTGCAGTACATTCTTAATTTGATTTTGTCCTGAGAACTATGAAGGAGACGACACACCAGGAGCAGAGTGGGTGAACATTGGGCTTTGTTTTCCTCCGCACATGTGCGACCTTTTCTCTCCAAATAAGCTGGGGGTGGGACATGACTGAGACCGCTGTGGTTTCCCTTTGTCATTCATGCCATAAGTCACTCCGTGTGCACCACTGGAATGTATACAGTGTTAGCGAGTCTGTTAATGATATTTTAAATAAAAAAGGAAAGATTTGTTTCACTGCTGCAGTTCAGCTGTGCTCTTCTAGAATCACAGAGTGATGGACCTCAGAGGTCCTGTAGTTCAAGCCCCCTTGTCAGGAGGGAGAGAAGGAGGGAGGGAGAGAAGGAGGGAGGGAGAGAAGGAGGGAGGGAGAGAAGGAGGGAGGGAGAGAAGGAGGGAGGGAGAGAAGGA